ACCGCTTCAACAAAGCGCGGCATCTCTTCAGTCTCAGGTCCATTAGACGAGCATTCAAACGATGTCCAGTTTTTCTTCGATATGCCCGAAACCCTAAGTCTTCATTTAACAAACACCCTTTTCACCGTGGATCTGATTAACCCCATCTGAAGGACCAACAGTTTCTGCTTACGTTTGGAATTTCTTTGAAATCGCGCCTTTACAGCTTTTATCACTGCTGGAGTCCTAACAGACCGAGGGCGACCACTTTTTGACCTGTCATCTACTCTAGAGTCTTCATTGTATCGTTTGATGGTACGATATACGAATCTTTTGGTTATACTCAAAATTTTGAGTATGTTAAAAATTTGAATTGGCGCGTAACCGCAACGATGCAACACAATAACTGCAACACGGTCTTCTTTAAGCATCCACTCTATTTAGAAATGAGTAAAATTCTAAAAAGTATACATTTTTATTTTCATGAACAATTCGAAATTCGAATTCAATAAACTTTTTTGTGGCCAGCATTCTAAAAGAAAAGTTTGTACTGTGAGAAAATACTTATGACCTGACTGTGTATATATCACATATATATGTATCATATATCCATATTAGGAACTTCGTCATTCGGCAAACCAAAAATGACAAGCTTTATCATTTATTTAGATAACTATTCATACCAAACTTCAAGTATATTTATTTATTTAACATAACTATACGAGTTAAACCAAATCACATAATTATGAACTAGTTTTACAAAGAGACTTCTATTTTTTTCAATAGATTTAGGGTTATCCCTATAAATATCAAATTCTGATAATACTACCAGGAGTGCGTTAAGAGCCTCAAGCATGCAACACAACGATGATTGGGCACGAGCTACCATAAGCGACAATGGAGGTGCGAATAGCTTATGTTTACGTCCAGAACGAATACGTAAATATTTATCCGGCACATATAAGCGAGATAATTGCTCAACACACTCAGCCGAGTTCAGACATGAGGCGAGGATGAAGGCGGTTGAAATTTCCATCCGAGCTCTCCTGACCTCTAAAGAAGTCACTCCCAACATTCCCAGCTAGAACTTGATAGGGTACATAAAGGGCCTACTAGCGGTACCAAATTTTAAATTTGGTACCTACACTATAGTTCATTCAGTAGACCTGGATTGATGGATAAAATACTTTTTATCGCGGATCACGTTCCTGTGAGATTTAAAAAAATCTTAAATAAGATGAACGAAGTCGCGGGCAACCACTAGTTACAAACAAAATTACGTACAATCATTTTAGGGTCACTTTCTAAAATGATGATATAAGATACCTATTAACAGAAATTGTACCTATTCTTAGCAAATGAATTTAAAAAAATACTAGGATAAAATCTACTCGGTCCAGGCAATAAACAGGTTCGAAACCTGACCCTTTCGCTATTAAGGCGGACGCACTATTAATAATATTGTTTTTAGATTTTAATAATAACATTATAATGTAAGTGAAAGTACATATAACGATAATATTGTGTCACATTATTAGATAATATTACACTTTGTATCATGTTACAATAACCGTGTTAACCTTTCGCTCCTTATAGAGCAAAGGTAAACCATTGTTAAACATTGAATAAGGCACCATCTTTCGAGAAACTAGTTCTTGCACGTGTCTCTTTGATAAAAAAAACGAGAGTGCTTATGACCACCCGACTAGGGTTACCATCCGTACGGATGTATCTGTATATATTTATATATATTACTATATATATATGTAGATGGAGAATATGTATATACAGGCTGTAAAAAAACCTATGACAAAGAATAAAACTACGCATTCTGTACACCCAAACAAGTAATATTACACGTGGGAAAAAATTGTATTTTTTAGTTAAAACAATAGTTATTTATTATACAAGAGTGGAAAGTTCCTTTTTAACCGCGTGCTCGATTTGGATGACCGAGCAAGCGAAGGATTCTAAAGTTGAATCACGAGCGCAGCGAGTGATTCTAAATTAGAATCCTGAGCGTCAGCGAGGGAAACAAACGAGCACAAGGTGAAAAATCTTTCCACTCGAGTGCAATACGTAACTTTTCATCCCACCTCAGCGAGGAAATGACAAAATGAAAAAGAAAACAATTTATAATGACAAAATATTTAAGCAATAAAACGTGAAAAACTAGAATGGCGCGAAGCACGCAAATAAAACAAAGAAACCAAGAAGGTTCCAAATTTAAATTTTTTCACAATTTAAAAAGTTCTAATCATAAATTTGGCACCATAGAGGTTACATTAAATAGGTTTAATGACGTTTTGAATTTACAATTATATTGAGTACTCATTATATGTGATGTTCTAAATTCAAATCTACTTTGCCGCTCAAGCGAATAAAATAGAATTTTCCAGCCAGATTTCGAAGCGCAAAATTACACTTTCCGAGGTGGTGGGATGAAAAATCATTTTTCTTTTTCAGTCCGCAATGTATAGCGCGGCGCGTTACTGTGGCGCTACGCAAAGAATGTGCCTGTGTGTATGTATGTGTAAGTGCGTCGATACAAAAAAAGTTTCTAAATAACGCTTTGAAAATATTAATGTATATATCTTGAAAAAAAATGATTGTGACCTTCAATATCTCCATAACCATAAATTTCTCAGGTATGGTCCAGAAGATAAAAAATATCGTCATGGTGTGGAAGATACGTGGCCTTCGACTTCGTCAAAGGTTTTTTTACACCCTGTATATATTTATATGTACGTGTAAAATATATACATGTAAGTACATATATATATTTCATTTACTAGCATTGCTTTTAAGCCCTCCAATATTTTGAATAAAAAAAACGAGCGAGCCTTACAGTAGTCGCGTATAATATGTAATATTTGAAACCTCACTTTATATTAGTAAAAAAAGAAATAAAACCTACTACAAAAGGAATAAGCCATTTGAACATTATGTTCTAAAATCAAATTAAATAGTGCGCGCTTTCGCGACTTCCTATGACACACTTCCATCCCATTTCACGAAATCACTCCCACAAATTGCAGGAAAGCGAGAGGAAAGATGTTACACATTAAAAAATTGAACTTATATTAATAGCAAGCTAACGTTACAGTATCCGTAGCAGCTACGCAATTTTACGATCGCTCGTAACGGCTGCCGTAGCATCCGTAGCAATATTATAAATTGCGTAGCGTCACAGAGAGCAACTACGAGCGACCGTTCATACTCATTTGATATGCAACTAGTTGTTTATCATGTTATCTTGCGACCTGCACAATCATATTATGCGGTGTATATATTATCATTGTAATAACTTTGGCTGTGAATTTATTTTGAATATGTCACAACCATACACCAAAATAGTCTAAGCAACATGCATCATTTACACAAACTGCTAGTTTTGACTGTTGATATTTTATTGCTTTTATTGAAAGTTTTGTTGCTTTAGTCACTGATTTTTTTTAAGACATCAATTAACTTATCCCCAAAGTAAGCACCTTACAGGCCTTACAGGCTTGTGTTATGGAATACTAGGGTAGGGTGGCCGAGTGGTTTGTACGCCGGGTTTCATGGCTGTCGCCGACTCGAGAGGTCTCGGGTTCGAATCCCGGTGGGGGCAGATGTTTGTGTGGGACCTCTCGAGTCGGCGACACCATGAAACCCGGCGTATAAGCCACTCGGCCGCGGAGGTCGACTAATAAATCAAATAAGTTATTATTACAACAGAACATAAGTATAAAACTATTAAAAATCAGTCAAGAGTTCAAAAAGTTCGTGTTGCCTAGACTCTTTTGAAGAATACAGTAGTCTGTGCAGCAGTGCTATTCTGTAAAAAAAACTAACATTTCACGCGCAATCCGCGGTGTGATTTGAAATTAGAATATTTTTTTATATAAATTTCAAATCACATCAACAAAAGGGAGTTTGTTCATTTAAAATAGCAATACGGGCAGTCTGTATACACATGTAATAAAAAAAATATATTTTTCATGATTTTTTTGCACCATTAAATAATAAATAAATAAATATTTCCAACACTCACACCAATTAGCCTAGCCCCAAAGTGAGCACTGTAAGGCTTGTGTTATGGGATGCTAGGGTAACGGATAGAATACATATACCTGTACATATATAAGTAGTTTTATATAGAAATGCATATTAAACATCCATGACTGGAGTACAAATACTCGTATTCAGCACACAAACATCTGCCCCCACCGGGATTCGAACCCGGGACCTCTCGAGTCTGCGATACCATGAAACCCGGCGTACAAACCACTCGGCCACGGAGGTCGTCAAGACCACTGACCATTGTACTGACTGTTTTGTTTAAACTTTGTTAAACCTTGTAACGAGCATATACACGAGGTGATATCATTACGAGTGACTACTGGAAGATAGTCGCCCACCGGGAACGCGCATTTTGGCCCTACGAACGCTATCTCTATGCCTATTCTAATTCATTTATTTCAAAGAAACAAGGATCATAATCAATACATTAAATATTCAATTACATAAATATTAACCAAGGACACACTAATCATAATAATAATAAAAAATATCATAATAATTCCAATGGACGCTAATTAATTAAATTTATAGTACAATAATAATCAAACAATAAAATACAAAAGTGACAGTTATAACTAAACTTTGTTAGTCAGTACATGTATCATATAACAATGGTTCATGCACTGACCGTCAAAACGTTCCGAAAATAATTTCAGGATGGTGTTCGGGCTCGCCCGCACCTGTTATGCTGCTGTATAAAAACAGTCCACTCGGTATTCGGAAAACATACCCGAAGCACTGCAGTATGGAGGTAGCCCCAGCAGCATCCTGAAAGCATTATTGACTAGACACGCAAGGCACTGTACTGCTTTTTGGTATAATTAATCCATAAGCTGCTCGTGTAGAAGGACGTACAAAACGCTCTGAACAGAGTGATTCCGACATCCCTCGAACGGCGAGCAAACCTACGGGCAATCATTTTAGCTCTATGGCTAAATAGTGAGGTCTATATATACCTGGTCGCCCATGCCGGTGATGATTGGCGTGTTCCAGTAGGCCGCGAGTCTGGCGACCGGTTCTAAGGCGAAGGCACAGGCCGGCCCCACGAATGCGATCACGTCCTCCTTGAAGTGCATGTCCGCAGCCAGCCCTGGAGCTATCGCACCAGAGCAGGACGGGTAGCTGCCGACAAAACAAATATAGAGCATATAGCTAACTGCTACAATTATAAATCTAAAGAAAATTTTACTGTGATTGGTTAGTGCGTCAGCCCGGATAGCGGAAAGTGCAGGTTCGAATCGTGTCTGATGCCTGGACCGAAGGGGTTTTTGGATCGACCTTGTAATTAGACTTTGTGAAATTCTACGACTTTTAATGTTAAAATGTTATTATGCATAACAGCGGGTGGCATTTACTTCATTTCGAAGAAAATCATTTGGCATTCCCTCGTTTAGCAGACATTCAATTAAACGCGTAATTTCATATGCCAGAATCAGCTTTCGGCAAAATTTAATATCCGAAATAATTAATAAGCAGATATATATAATATCGCAGAAAGTTTACAGTCAGAATCATCTTTTGGCATACAAATATTATAATTTTTCTTGTTTTATTTATTGACGAGCAGGTGGCTGGCGCTTTGCCAGATGCTGCTGAGGCACGCTCGCTTCGCCCGCTCAGCTCGCGCTACGTTTAGGTCATTACACTAGTCTACTGACCACAAACACTAGGTAAAGTAGCAAAATAAAATTTTTCCAAAGTAAATTGTGCCTAATAAAATTCTACTTTCTTAAGATGGCGTATAAAAACGATAAGAAGTTCCATTTAAAATTCGGTCCTCTAAACATTCGATCAAACAATAATTATATTGACAAAAAAAATGTCTTAAAAATAGTTTAAAGAAGATAAGATAGCAAGAATAGCAAGTGTGTAATGGCCAAATGAATTTCGAAGAAACCAGATTCAGCCAGATAGAAGGAACACTTCTTTTATAACACTCCATCTAGGGTAGGTGCTATTGTAGTGGTATAATATTGACTTTTATTATTAGCTGTATGAAGTTATAATTTTGGAGGAGTCGATAGGGGTAATGTCCTTAAATTCTCATAGCATGTGAATTTTTTATTGCCGCTCTACAACATCCTCTACAACATATAGCAATGCCTATCATATTATTTGCGTTGCCGTTTAGTATGTACTTGGGGTAGTACTAACTCCATATGTTTAAATATACGATTTTATTCTGTTTTTTTAATAGTTCTTTATTTTTCTTAAAAACGTTATTTTGCAAATCGCGTAGGTAATGCAAATACATAATTAACCTTTACGGTAGGATGGAACCCTTCATGTACCAGACGTATCTGTTTGACTCGCACTCTACTTGTTTTTCATTAAAGTTATAAGAAAAAGTAATATTATATCACATACTTTTCGGCGGCATATTAACTCACGTAATTTTACGCTACCTCGAACATTTTGGGTACCTACAATTTTAAGCTTAGAGGTATGTCATACCTTACAAGCTGTGAGGCATACTTAATCTAATTGCAAAAACAGTACACAAATATAGTATACTAGCGACCGCCCGCGGCTTAGTCCATCTTTGAGAATCCCACAGGAAACTAAAATTTATCCGGGATAAAAATTATTCTTTGTCTCAATCCAGGTAATAAACTACCTATATATGTGTGCCAATTTTGATCCAAATTCGTTCAACCCTTTTCCGATTTAATCAAGCCCTGTGGTAAAATACACCCCAGTAAAATGTACTCTCCCTTTTCACCCGGCAAGTGGTAGAGTTTTACAGAACCTTAATACATTTAATTCTTTATTTCAAGTCTCAAGTATAAATATTGGGTTTTGAGGAAATCGAAATCAGGAATGTTGCAAATATTCGCATCCGCATCGATTTATACATCCGCATCTGCATCCGCATCCACAAAAATCGATGCGGAACTGGTGCGAAAGCGTATGTGTCGCGACAAGTTATTTTATTACTTCTTTATTGTGCTTTTTGTTTAAAAATGCCACTACACACGCAAAGTGAAATTTGGGCCTATTTCAATCCTGTAGAAAATTACCGGGATAAATCTTAGTGTAAAATCTGTATCCGCAACATCCCTGATCGAAATGCGCGTTAAAATTCATCCATATAAAAACTTGGGCACTCTCCAATCAAATTAGGGGTAGTTTATTCAAACCAAAAATGTTAAACTTTATAATTTATTTAGTTAAGTAATTGCACCCAGTTTAATTCTATTAACATTGAGTTAATAAATTAAAACTTAAAATAAGATTGATGCAGTCTTTGATCCCCTATTTCAAACACATAGGGGATGAATTTTGAAAAATCCTTTCTTAGTGCACCCCAAGAACCCACACCCAAATTTGGCGTCTCTAGACCCGGCAGTTTGGGTTCTGCGTTGATATGTCAGTCGGTCAATTTCTTCTTTTTTAAATAGACTATGGTTAATAAGTCATAGTTATAATGGATGCGGAAAGCGCAAGACAGTTATGCATGGTAACCCAATGAAGAGGCCTATGTCTAGCAGTGGACGTTCATCGGCTGATGATGATGATGATATAAGGGTTTTGTTTATTTTTATTTTGGGTTACTGAATAATAAAACCACTAATGTATAACTTTGAATTGATGTCTTTGAGAACATCCGTTAATCTCATTTTCAAAATTTATTTGAGCGTAAATACAGTGATAAGCCTTTTATATTCACAATATTTGAATGTTAAAGAGCACTTATAATAGACGAAAAGCTGTTTTGCACTTTTATAACGTACAAAGACGTCAAATGAAAAATGATCTCACTCATATAAAAGAGCACGAAGTGGCCTTTTCAAATGGAAAATGTTTGAGATAGTTTCTATGCCTCGCTTCAGTTATGCTAGAATTCTATAAGTTTGTTATAAAAGCCTTTACATTTTGGGTACCAAGTTCTGAATAGCATAATGAAGTAAGGGCACATCGTTTCTTCACTCTCAGTTCGTGTTTTACAAAGTGAAGTATTTTATCTCGTTCATCGTCCGTTATTACAAGGTTACTGTCCACTTTCAAAATACAAAGGCCGCAGGCAGAAGGAAGTGAGTGCGTCGCAAATTTACTGTCCAAGCTTAAAGCTTATTAGATGAAACACGATACCCGAACTTTATTTATATACGTCCGTTGTTTGTTACAGGATACTTTAATTTACGTTTGCGTGAATTAAAATATAAAGCCGTCTAAGTGTAAACCAAACTCCAAACACAAAGTACTTTACATCGAACAAGGATAAAATGATTGAAAAAAAGTTTATTTTGGCAACAACCATATGGCCCAACCGACGCCGTCATCAGCATTCTCTCTTTAATATTTGATTAAATAACTAATCTCAATACTTATAAGGACAGTACTCATCAGATCGTCATTCATTTCTATTAGACTTTAAAAAAAAAGTATCGCAGAACTTCCGATATCATAATATTATTATGCATAAAAGCGGAAGGCATCAACTTCATTTTGCAGAAAATTTTGGCTATCACTCGTTTAGAAGACATCAAAACGATTATATTTTTGAGTCAGCATCATCTTTAGGCATTTTAATATCTATAATAATAAACGCAGTCGGGTAAAAAGCAGAACCATCATATCGCAGAAAGTTTACATACAGAATCGTCTTTTGGCATACAAATCTTTAACTTTTCCTTGTTTTATTTATATATCTTTATATATATAATTCTTCTGTGAGTGTGTATGTCACTGAACTTCTCTTAAACGACTGGACCGATTTTGATGAAATTTTTTGTGTGTGTTCAAGGGGATCTGAGAATGGTTTAGATTCACAATTTTGTCCGCTGGACAACCCCTATTTTTTTAGGGCGGTACGAAGTTCGCTGGGTCAGCTAGTCCAAAATAAATTTTTGCCAAAGGTAAGTTATGGCTAATAAAATTGTGCCATATCGGCCAAGCAATTATTATATTTACAAAAAATATGCCTCAAAATAATCATTTGAATAAGATTATATAGTACTAGCAAAAAAAAAAAAAGTATTTAATTAATTGAGAACTTCGGAGATTTTTTGTGGTTTCGTTTGAAATAGAAATCACGTGATTTCTCGAAAACCGGAAGTGCTACGTTACTCACATCCGGTTTGTAGTCTTATCAGACTATTCTTAACTTATAACTTAAACATTCTCTATATCTATCTCTTACGGTTTGGCCGCTGAAACAGCACCACGGACGGACGGACGGACGGACGGACTTGTCTAATAGATAAGAGATGTTTCTAACAACAAGATTCTGCCAGATTTAACCCATCGAAGAGTAATGAGGCACAAACCTTTGTATAAACATAAAATATACAGCCTAATTGACAATCCCCTTCTTTTTGTAGTCGTTTTAAAATAAAGCTGGTTTGCATACACGAAACTTTGTCACGGCGATTTGCAAGAGCGAGCTTTTTTACGAATCGCAAGGGCTACATTGAAATGCAAATGTTATTAACCTTGTCGTGTGCAAGTCCAATCGTATTTGGACTCTTTTTATTCTTTGTGATTTGTTATGCAACATATAAACACAGCGAGTTGTTAGTCCAAAGAACAGGGAAACCTCTAATTACGCCTGTACTGCATGTTCGCCCCGCAGGCGCAGCCTAGCTAGGGTCACAAATTTAAATGTCAAATCATGATTATGTTTCTCCCACCTGCGCGACGAAACTTGGTACTAAATGCGCTAAAATTATCGTTTAAACCTTTAATGAAATTCTACCGTAATGAACTATCGGGCTGCGTAGACGATAGCTTGACTGGATAAAAATCGCAAAAATGACACGCTAAAAGAGGTTATGGGGACGATAAATTTGTATGTGCACTTAAGAGGGAACTGATTCAAAGGACATCGACGAAATCTGCCCCATTTTTGAAATTATGTAAAGATAGTTTATACTCCCATCCCATATAACATCTGTTTATTTTTATGAAAATCATAATGATAACCAGGTACATACCTACTTACCAATAATAAAATATAGAAACCAGTAAACGGAAAACCACTAAACATTTAATTTTAAGAAATGTATTATTAAATATATAGGTATCATAAGTGCCATCTGCCAATACTCATAAATCAATATGAAAATGTATTTTTATTAATAATTGCATTTAATGTTCAATAAATTAATTTTTTTAAAGTGCTTACATAGAGGTAAACAATAAATCTATTCAGGACATATAAAGTGTACATCTTTTACAATTAAGTATAATATAACCTCAAAATCTAATGCATTCTGTATTAGGCCACGGTTCATCAAATTACCCGTGTTTCAAAAAATACATGAGGATAACTTAGGGGTGATTCCGAACACAACTAGCATTTTCTCATTGCTGTGCGTTCTGGAGCATTCAATGTATGGGGAACGAGCGATGCCCTTTCAAACGGTTTCAGTGAATCGTACTACTGGTACCTGGAACCTCAGACTGGAACAACAATGACGGATTGCCAGCCCCCAATAGCAATAACAATTATCAAATTAGGTAATTTTATACATACTTTAAATGTTTAGGGTTCCGCAGTCAATTAGGAAGTTTTATAGTTTTTTTACGTCTATCCATTCGTCGATATTACTAAGCGCAGTTTTTTTTATTTGTATGGTTATTGTAGTTATTTATGATACAAGTGCGGTCAGTTGGTTATTACAAACGAGTAGACGAATTTAACAGACGAATTCGAGGGCTTACCATCGTCACGAGTTTGTATATACCAATTCCGCACGAATGTCATATAACGTTTTTCTACACATTTGCGAGAAAACAGTACCTATATCTACCAATCCCCTATTATCACCCATCAAGGGATTGATAGGGGTGATAGTGGGGACACTATCACCCAACAATCCCTTATTTTCACCCACCAAACCTCTTATCACCCTCAAATCCCTTGCACCCTTCAATCCCCCTTTTAACGCTCAAACCCCTTTTCACCCTCGACCCCTTTTCACCCTAGATTTCCCTTTTCATACTCCAATCCCTTTACATCCTCCAATCCCTTTTCACCCTGCAATCCCCTTTTCATATACCAATCCCCATTTCACCCTCCAATCGCTTTTTACCTACTCCAACAAGATCGACCGAAATTTAAAAATAAACGTAAAGAATACGCATGGCACCATGTATGGGAGCATGCGATACAATTTTTAACCGCACACTCCGTTGGATGGCTTGTAATTTGAACTTTCGAACAATGTATGTTTTTATAAAACGGTGAAGTGTTAAAGGGCTTAAGAAAGGCTGAGATTGCGCTGCCACGCGCTCTTTAAACAATCATATCTCCATCAATTTTTGTTGGACAGAAAAAACAAAAAAACCAAATTGTTTGTCAGAAAAATACCTAAATTTTTAATTTTCACACTTTTATACGTATCTGTCGTCATTTTTGAGATATTATGAAAAAAAAGTGGGTTTTTGAAAATTTTAATTTTTTTTTTTTTTTCAATCGTGACTTTTTTGAAAATTATGTATCCTGAAGCAGCCAAACTGATACTATCTATCAAACTCTTAAGTTAATTCTAGGCGGAATACGATTAATTTTAATTTTGGTGGAAATGGCACTTATGAAACCCATTGATTTAAAAGAAAAAACATTAAATGCTCCCCTTATTTGCAATACAGCTCACTCATTTTACGTGCAAAAGACTTTTAATAGTGCTCATTTTAAAGCTTATTTCAAGCACTACAATACCCTTTTGTATTAGAATGCATAAAATGCATCTGCTCGCCGCTAGATGGCATTAGATTAAATTTCAGACAAAATAAAAAACGGCTTTGATCTTTAATATCTAGCTTAATATCGCACTTAGAATACTTTATAAAAAACCAAATTGTTCATTGTTTTACCTGCTACAATTTTGTTTTTTATAAAATTTTTGATAAAACGTATATTTTTGGAGATATTTGCAAAAAACCGATGAAAAACGTGAAAAAATTGCGAATTTTCAATTGCCAATAACTTGAAAAGTATTGGATTTTTTGAAAAACTTTATAGATGATTTTTTGCTTAAAATTAGGTCGATATCCGAGATTATTTTGAAAAAAAACAAAAATACCCCCGAGAAGGGGTGGCAACCACCCCCAGGGTGGTTGCGGAGTTCAAATCATTTTCACTTTTGAAGTTAAGGGTAAGATGAACCTAATTCCAAAATTGTATGCAATTCGGTTCACAGTAAAAAAATTCGGAGCAATAATGCTTCAATGACTGCACTAAAATGCATTTTTTGAGCAAGTGTGTTGAAAATGTTATTATTTTGCCTGGAATTGCTACCTTCTAAGTTAGATTCAAACAAAAGATATTCACTTATGTAAAAATTAAAAAAAAGTAAAAATCATTAAGAGCCCTTTCTCATATTATTTGCAATTAAAACAGTAGATTTATTCTCCCTTTTCAAAGTTAATGTAGAATTACAAATACTATTTTCCTTTTTTTTATACTGATCGTTCTAGCGCAGCTAGTTTACGGAAAAAACGATAATATGCACAAATTCAAACGCCTGAATCTCTAAATGATGTGCAATAAATTAGATCAAATTAATCACTACGACATCAGAAATATATTTTTGTTGTAACACAAAGATTAGAATATTGATTTTCCATCTCATTAATTATCAAAAAAAACATCTAACCTCCGTAAGTTTTCCCAAAAAACAATGCAAGTTTACCTCGTATTTTGATATTGAATTAATAGAATTTTGTAACAGGGCTCTTAACCATTTCAAAGCTGCCAAGATTTCTCCACCTAATGTTGTTGTTGTCAATCAAACAGAGTAATAACTTGGGCGTTCGCCCTACCTACTTTGTGTACCAAAAAATACCTAAAACTAGGAAAAATATACTCATCAAAAAAGTTTAAGCAACATATTGTACGGTTTTTAACTATTTAACGATTTTTACTATTGTAATATATACTTTGAGGACGAGGTGAATAGAAGAATTCAGCTGGGTTGCACAGTTCACAGGACCTAAAGATGAAAGTCCTCAATCAGTGCGTCGTACCTGTGATGACATACGGAGCCGAAATGTTGACACTGTCGGTACGGCTGGTCCACAAGATCAAAGTCGCTCAGCACGCTATGAAAACGGCTATGCTCGGCGTTTCTCTGAAGGATCGCATCAAATGAGGTGATCCGACAGAGAACCAGAGTGATCGACATAGCCAACCGGATTAGCAAGTTGAAGTGGCAGTGGGCTGGCCATATTTGTCGCAGAACCGATAACCGTTGGGGTTGGACGAGTTCTAGAGTGGAGACCGCGTCTAGGCAAACGTAGTGTAGGACGTCGTCAGGCACGGTGGAGTAACGATTTGTGGATGTGGCTGGCAGGAGCTGGATGCGAGTAGCCCAAGATCAATCTCAGTGGCGTGCAATTGGAGAGGCCTATGTAGTGGACTAAGATAGGCTGTTGATGATGATGATAATATACTCCCGCACATATCTGTCGGCCCACCTAGTAATTTAAGTTTAGTACTATATCGTTTTGATGGTCCCTAGCTAAAAGTAAATGTTAAATCAGGCAAAAAGTTTTACCATACACAGTTTTGAAGCTGATTTATTAACCATCTTTTTCGTATGTTTTAAAAAATATATATTATTTATGCTCAATCTAACTTAATTGTACTCGTATTTTTGCTACAGACAGTTGAAACTTATGACGATGATGATACACGAATTAGGTGCGTGTAATTCAGATTCTTAGATTTTATTACATAGTTCGTTACAACTCGACCTAATAAAAACGTGTTAAAATAATTAAACATCAATTAATATAACATACAGTTTCTGTAAATGATGCGTGTTGCATAGACTTTTTCGATGTGTGTAAAAACAATTTGTGATTTATTACCTGCCTTGCACCTTTTGCAGTTCAATGCCATGATGCCCCAAGAACTTTTCGTTCACCTTGTCCAAGGCCAAGTCCACAGCTGGGCCGCAGCGCTCCAAGTCGAACGGGGAGTCCAGATGGGAGGCCATCAGGACCCCAACTTTGTACACAGTATGTGCTGATTGCACCGTACTCGACAACACAGGTATGAATACGCACCAACATGATACCGTTATGAGATCCATTATTATATTGTAGATACAAATTACAAATACAAAGTTCACAGGAAAAACTTGAATGTATTTCAATAGAGATCGATTAATTTATTAACTGTTGATGGTTCCTATCCACAGAAACATGTCCAAACATTTCTTATATTCTTACAAAAGCAGTTATAACACTCGAAGTGTACTCCCGATAACAAGATGCACTTTTTATTAAAGCCGCAAGAAAATGTTTGTCCCAAATCTCGAAGTTTATCTTTCCAAATTCAGATTCGTGTACATTTACGAAGTTTCAGAATAAAAGGCGCGACGCATCCTCCCGGCTCTGATGCTGGCAAAACACTGACATTTATACAAATTCTTAACTAAGCTATAGCTATGACACTGACCGTTTCAGTGGCAAAACTCGGATAAGCCCCAACAACGCAACAGGTCCCCACCCTGCTGCCGTCAAAGCTTCTTCCCAAACAAATATTATTATGGCTACGCTACATTATGACACAGGCACTTGGACTTTTTTTTTTCAGAGTGCAGACAGCATCTAAAACAATAAAAGATATTTACGATAATGTTGCCTATTAAAGTTTACGGCTTCATTAGCCTGAAACTTTGAATAGCTGAGAAACCTTTTATTGAAATAGAAAATCATCTGTGTGACTACGATAGAATCTATGTACTTACGTAGGTATAATTTTGGTTTCAGATCCATTCAGCGATTAACAAATAACAGCCACTTACTAGAGTAGCACCTCAATAATTTATAGTTAGTGCAAACTAGGTAAGTATTCGCTTAATATATTTACTGGCCAATATTTTATCCTCTCACGGGCCTACGAATAGGACATAGCTCCCTGGAGCCCTCTAAAATTACACTGTTAGTGATCTCGTTACACATGTTAGCTTTTATACCACCGTACTAAGCTTTTCTTCGAAAAGCTCTATAAAAGGCGAGACTTAAATTACACAGGTATTGAATAAAAATATATAACGATAAAAACCACTTAGTTGGGTTTATATTTTTTAAGTAGTAGTAAGAAATTCCATTTACCTGCTACTTAAACAATTTTTTTGGACGAAATTTATGTTACGAATTCCGAAGTACGCCTCAATTTCAATCTCAAAGGAAACTTTCTTCTAATTAGTAAATTAGTATCGTTAAACTAAAATAGCTCGTCAGAATTCTGTCCACCCTAAAACCTTAGCCCACTTTAACTGATTGCCAATTAAAGTTTACTTTAACCAAATCCTGTAACTTTCCTAAGATCACAGTAATCAAAGCTTTTATACGTAAGTACTTATTTCAAGGGAATTTGTCAATGCCTGTGAATATACTTACACTCAATAGCAATATCACTAAGTAAGCGTATTGTGAAGATTCTTTGTGGCAACATTTTATTGTGCGCGTCAGGATTCGCCGTTCATTCATTATTGGAAAGTATATCGGATATAGGTATATATATACTTCCGGACACATCTATCGGCCCACTTAGTGTTATTAAGTTTCAAAGGTCTGTAGCAAAAATATATGATTATGATTGAGAAATATTTTTTAAAACACGAAAATATGGTTAGTAAAACGGCTTCAAAACTGCGTGGGTTATAACATTTTGCTCTATGTAACATTTATTTTTAGTAAGGCACCGACAAAACTTAAAATGCTAGGTGGGCCGATAGATTTCCCGAGGAGGTAGAAGGAGGGGCGGCTGGTCCTACTTAGGAAGGACGGTCGCCCTGCGGACTCCCCCTCCGGGAAATTCTTTGAAAGAATCCTGGCGGGGCGTATCATTGAGCACCTGGAGGGGCCGGGCACGAATCTGGCAGAGCACCAGTTCGGGTTCCGGCGAAACCGGTCCACAGTGGAGGCGGTGGCCCTTTTGAAGGGGTGGACCGAGACGGCCACTCGGCGGGGAGAGACTGCTGTTGCGGTGTCGCTGGACATCCGCAATGCCTTCAACAGTCTCCCCCACGAGTGTATTATGGAGCCTGAGCCATACCTGCGAGCGATCGTGGAGGACTACCTGCAGGGGAGGTCAGTCCTCTACGAGGGGCCCGATGGACGCATGTGCTCTCGGGCCATGGCCGCAGGGGTACCCCAGGGGTCAGTGCTGGGTCCACTGCTCTGGAACCTGGGGTACAACTGGGTGCTGCGAGGCAGCCTCCTCCCCAATATGGAGGTTGTCTGCTTCGCCAACGACACATTGGTCGCGGCGAAGGCAAAGTCGGCAGAGGAGGTGGTTCGTTTGGCGTCGGTAGGCACTGCGCTAACCGTCCGACGCATCCGCCTCCTCCCTCGATAAAACGAGGGCCATGCTGTTCCACAGCTTACGCCGCAGCACCCAACCGGGGCTCCATATCCGGGTGGAGGGGGTCCGAATACCGGTCGAGGGAAGCCTGAAGTACCTCGGCCTGGTGTTGGATCCCCGATGGAGTTTCGAGGAGCACTTCAAGCTCCTCGCTCCACGGCTGTGCGCCGCCGCAGCCGCATTCGGCAGGGTCCTCCCAAACGTGGGGGGACCAGGATATGCGTGCCGTCGACTGTATCACGGGGTGATACGATCGATGGCACTTTATGGAGCCCCGGTTTGGGCAGAGTGCCTCAAACCCCGCACGATGGCCCTGCTGCGACGACCGCAGAGGACCATCGCGACCCGGGTCGTGCGAGCTTACCGCACGGTCAGCCACGGCGCCGCCTGCGTACTCGCGGGTATGACGCCGTGGGATCTCGATGCCCATTGCAGGTTCTGGCAGACGTGCATCGAGGTCCGGTCGAAGCCAGGGAGCGGGGTGAAAGACCTGCCCCAGCAGAGCTGCGGCAGGTCCGTTCCATCGCGCAGGCAGAGGCCTTGCGGCGATGGGATGAGGCACTCGCCCATGTAAGCGCCGGCCACCGGACGATTGAGGCCATTCGTCCGGTGTTGGAGGAGTGGGTGGGTCGCCAGCGCGGCGGCCTCTCGGTCCGCATGGTGCAGGTACTGACCGGGCACGGATGCTTCGGTCACTACCTGTACCGTGTCGCACGTCGGGAGGAAACGCCGCAGTGTCATCACTGCTGCGCCCCGGACGATACGGCCGAGCACACCTTGCTGGAGTGCTCGGCCTGGCGGCAGCAGCGCCGCGTCCTGATTGCGGCGCTGGGAGGCGGAACCCTCTCGCTGCGGAGCATGGTAGAGGCCATGCTCCGTAGCGAGTTCGCATGGGAGGCAGCCGAGAGGGAGTGGGAGCATGATCCCCTGGCCGCTCCCTCCCGCCGAAGAAGAGCGGGCAGAAGAGGACGAGTGAGTGCCCTGGCTACGCCCGTCCCATGACCCTGCCCGCGGGCCATCCTGCGCACGTCTGCGGGGTCCCCGCAATGCCTCGGGAGACCCCTGCCGTGGAGCCCCGGCTAGGTCGGGAGGCTGCTGGGTGCGGAGACGCGGAAGAATCCCTAAACGGGGATCCCACGGTTTCGCACTAAGCAGCTTAGAGGGTATTCGCAGGACTTTTTAGCGGATATTATACCGTAAAGCGCCCGTAAGAGTTGCGGGGTCCTCGGTGGGCAGCCACTGTGGGGTTCGTAAGACTTGCGGGAGCCAGGTGTGAGGTCCGTTCGGAGGTGTGCCTCTTAAAGGCGCCGTCGTCTGTAAATAGATTTTTTACCTGCGTATTAAAAAAAAAAGGTGGGCCGATAGATGTGTCTGGAAGTATATATTTCTCTTCGAAAATTATTTTTATGAATCTCAATCATTCAAGAAAAACTACCCAATCTCTCTATTCCATCCATAGGGAAGACCTGTGCCCCATTAGTGAGGACATTAATTGGCTGATGATGATGTAGATTCACTTAAGCCATGTATTCATTGTAAACAATAATTAGGAAAAAATGTTGCTGAAACAACACGTAGACCTTTACAGAAACAATGTTTCTGGAACATAGCGAAAAACACATAATGTTTACTGCAACATGTTTCACATGTTTCAAAAACATTATATTTATACACAAACACGTAGATTTTAAACAATTGTTTCTCAGTAAATACATGGCATTCACCCTTTACTTAATAACTAGAGGTCGCCGGCAACTTTGCCCGGGCTTACTTTATTTTTTTGAGAAACCCACAGGAACATAATTTTTTCCGGAATGAAAAGTATCCTTTGTGTCAATCCAGGCGGCCATTCACCTAACGAGATTGCTTTGGAAACGCTATCGTTTACGATTTCATTTTGTTATTTTTAGCCGCCTGAGGTTTTCGAAAGCCGCGCGCTCTTTTTTTTTCTTTTGCATTGGTAATAACAATATTAAAGAAAATGAGCGTGAGGTATTTGAAAACATTCGGCGGTCAGAAATAACAAATAGAAATCGTAAGCGATAGCGTTTTCCAAAGCAATCCCTTTAGGCGAATCGCCCCCAGGTACCAGGTACAGGTACTGTAGGCCTACCAAATTTTATCGAAATTCTTACAGTAGTTTTTGCGTGATTGAGTAACAAACATACAAACTTTCACATTTTAAATATTAAGTAGGATTCTGAGCCTTCACACCACAACAGTGATACTGCCTCCGCCACCAATTGTACATTATAATAGTCATACCCAAATGAGATATAAGAAAACATCTTTCTTTTTTTGCATTGTAAAAGTAAACCTACAGTTCATGAGACTATGAAACCTGCCCAAAATCACAAGTACCAAAGGTTATGTTCCGCGTAGGCGTATGGAGTCGTTAACGATGAGTACTGCGGTACGGTACGGTCGTTAATTTATTTATCGCTTTGGAAGTTGCTAAAACGTGTCCATTTTATGAGTCACTTTGATGTAGGTACAGTACAATTTAATAATAGGTGAGCACTTTCGAAATTTCTCACAGTAACTAAGTACTACGACAATTTATAGGTGTACAAAGTGTAGGCAAGAAAAAATATTTCAGTGCGGCAAAGATTAAAATTAAAACAGAAATGAATTGGCTATAATGTACTTACCGAGGCAATCAAGTTTACTTCGAAAAACAGCAAACATGTCAACACGGAAAGGGATCGTACCGTATCA